CACACACACACACACACACACACACACACACACACACACACTATAGAGTAATTTGTGTCTCCAAGTGTCCTTCAGTATAGGTCAATCCACTGGATCCTGGTTAGCTTACCAAGAGTCCCATCCTTGAAAGAGACTATCTCTGCCCTCCCAGCAGCCATTGGTTGCCACAATTTTCTTAGGTAGGGTTGAGGTTTCTTACCAACTTCCTCATATCCATACTAGGATTTTTTTCTGTTTTGAAGTTGCATGGGATTTGTGCATGCTGTTAGCATTGCTGTGAGTTCATATGAGTAACTGATCAGCTATCCAGAAAACTCTGTTTCCTTGTGATCATCCACCACCTTTGGGTCTTACAATCCTTCTACCCCCTCTTCCACAGTGATCCCTGAGCCTTGGGAGGCAGAAGTTTGCTGTAGGTGTCCTATTCAGGGATAAGAAGTCTGCAGCTTCTTAGTCTCTGCATGCATATTGGCCAGTTGTAGGTTTCTGTGTTAATCATCATCTGCTGCATAAGGAAGCTTCTCCAGTGACAACTGAGAGGTGCATTAACCTATAGGTGTAACAATAAGTCATTAGCAGTCAGCTTAATATAAGTATGTCATAGAAAACTGATATTTGGTTCTCCTCCATTTCTATCATTTTTTAAATTTTTATTTTATTTATTTTATGTGTATGCGTGTATTTCCTACATGTAGGTAAGTACACCTGTTTTGTGCAATGCCCACAGAGGTCAGAAGAGGCTGATGGATCCCCTGGGACTGGAGTTATGGACAATTGTTAGCTGCCATGTAGGTGCCAGGATTTGAACCCGAGTCTTCTGCAAGAACAACCAGTGTTCCTAACTGCTGAGCCATCTCTCCAGCCCCCATTTCTATCTTTTTTAATAAATTAAGTAATATTGGATGTAGATCTTCTTTAAATATCTGGTAGAATTCTGCCGTAAATCCATCTCATCCTGAGCTTTTTTTAGTCAGGAGATTCCAGTTTTTCTCCATTTAGAATGATGTTGGTTGTGGGTTTGTTGTATATGGTTTTAATTATGTTGAATTATGTTCCCCTCCAGTCCAGTTCCCTCCAGAACTTTGAACAAAAAGGCGTGTTAAATTTTGTCAAAGGCCTTCTCTGCATCTATTGAGATGACCATGTGGTTCTTGTCTTCGAGCCCATTTATATGATTTATGACTTTTATTGACTTACATATATTGAACCATCCCTGCATCTCTGGAGTAAAGCTGACTTGATCTTTTTGATGTGTGTTTGTATGCAGTTTGCAAGTTTTTTGTTGAGAATTTTTACATCTATATTCATTAAGGATAGGGGTCTATAGTTTTCTTTTTTGGTTGTAGCTTTACCTGGCTTGGTATTAGAGTGATGCTGGCTTGATAAAAGGAATTTGGAAGTTCTCCCTCCATTTCTATCATTTTTTAAATTTTTATTTTATTTATTTTATGTGTATGCATGTATTTCCTGCATGTAGGTAAATACACCTGTTTTGTGCAATGCCCACGGAGGTCAGAAGAGGCTGATGGATCCCCTGGGACTGGAGTTACAGACAGTTGTTAGCTGCCATGTAGGTGCTGGGATTTGAACCCGAGTCTTCTGCAAGAACAACCAGTGTTCCTAACTGCTGAGCCATCTCTCCAGCCCCCATTTCTTTCTTTTTTAATAAATTAAGTAATATTAGATGTAGATCTTCTTTAAATATCTGGTAGAATTCTGCCATAAATCCATCTCATCCTGAGCTTTTTTTAGTCAGGAGATTTTTTTCATTACTGTTTCAATTTCCTTATGTATTATGGCTCTGTTTAAGTTGTTGATCTCTTCTTGGTTTAGTCTTGGTGGTTCCCATGCTTTTAGATACCTGTCCATTTCTGTTCAGTTTTCAAATTTATCCCTCTTTTCTTTTAGTTCTTTAAAATACTTCCTTATAATGATCTGGATC